GCCAAGGCAGGTGGATCGCTTGAGCTCAGGAGTTCGAGACCAGCCTGGACAACATAGCAAAATCCTGTCTCTACAAAAAATTAGCAGGGCATAGTGTAGCACCTGTAGTCTCAGCTGCTGGGGAAGGTGAGGTGGGAGGATAGCTTGAGCCTGGGAGGCAGAGGTTGCAGTGAGCCAAGACTGCACCACTGCACTCCAGCCTGGGTGACAGAGTGAGACCTTGTCTCAAAAAAAAAAAAAAAAAAAAAAAAGTTTAAATAACTTAAATATAAGTGTGTTACAGAAAAGACGGGTTCTAGCTAAACAAAAGAAAATTCAGACCAAATAAAAAAGGGAGAAAAAAAGAAAGTGTGAACTAAACGATACCACATAGTGGTTTAAAAAAAATGTCAATTAGTATAACTAGAAAGGGGCTTCTGAAATTCTTGAAAATAGTACCTGCATCAGAGTTCACAAACTTGTTGCCCATGGATTGCATCTTGTAAGCAGATGTGTTTTGTCTACCTACCCCTACATTTTAAAAAATTTGAATTGGTTGTCAGCATTCAGTCAAAAGATTTCACATAAAAATTTTATTTATATTGAAAAATCTGAACATGTGGCAACAATGAAGTCCCATTGTTTCATGGCAACAATTGGCCAGCAGTTCTGCACCCTTACCTGCACACTGGAAATCACACGGGAAGCTTTTAAAAAGATACCAACACCTCAGACCAACCCTTCAGTCATTCTGGGTAAAGGCCAATCATCTATATATTTCAAAGCTCCTAAGAGGGCTCTAATGTGCAGCCAGAGTTGAGACTCATGGGCCTAGAGTTTTATACTTGGCATATGCTCTTTAGCTATTCACAGTAGCCAAATGTACTGCACTATGCTTCCAGTTACAAAGGTAACTGAGAGTTGCAGCCCTATTTAAATATTTATGCCAAATCTTGTTTAAGCCACAAAGCTAAAGAAAAGACTGCTTAGAAAGGAGGGTCCAGTTCAGCAATATGAACTGTATTAACTACACATGATTCTAATCCAGCGTTTCTCAAAGCCTGGTCAGTAAACCACCTCCATTCAAATCTCGTGTTAAAAATGCACAAGTCTGGGCCATGTTCCAGACATTAAAAACTCCAAAGACGAGCTCCTTATGCACAGTAAACAAGTGTCAGTTTCTAAGAGGATGTTCAAGATTCTCTTCCCCTCCTCCTCCCACAACCACCTACCCACCGTCTGACCATGAAGAACACTAACATGTGTTGGAGCCACGGAATTTTTTCATTGAACAAATCCATGATCTCTTACATTTTCTCTCTAGCATCCAAAGCTGGCTTGCTCTCTTTGGACTGCTTTTCCTTTACAGTCACTCTTTGCTTCTGCTCTTGGCCTCTCTATTGTCCATGACTGACACATGTAAGACAAATTTGGTGCCTTGGTACTTAGAAAGATATAGACTTCTTGCCACCCAAATAGAGAAAAAGAGGCATGGTTAAGCCACCCAAGATCCCGTCTAGTCTACCTCAAGGGAAACCTTGAAGTTCACATATGGTACCATCAAGCTCCCAGATACTGAAGCAATAGTTTTCATGTGTAATCCACAAATTACATATTTCCATATCATTGAGCAACTGGATAACATGCTGATTCCTGAGTCTCACACAAAACCTACTGAATGAGTAAGAATCTCTGGCAAGTAGGATTCAGAAGCTGTACTTTCAACACACTGCCCCAGTGGTTCTTATGCAAGACAAGTGTGAAAACCACTAAGCTCTAGGTACAATAAAAAGAACACCATCTCTAGAGCTCCGTCATAAAATTCAGAGGGGCTAAGGGAAGTCACTGCCTAATATTCTTGGTTCTCATATCTCTCCTTTTCTGTCCACTCCCATACTGGTACAACTTACTCGGTTCAGCACAGACCATTTAAGATGACCAAGTATTCTGTTGTACCGTAATTCAAATTAATCAGCTATTAGGAGAAAAAGAAGTAAGAAATACTTAAGCCCCAACTGAATACTGGCATAGCGCTTAATACCATAAAAACACAGATTAGCTGCATACCCAGAAAGCTTACATTTATTTGTCATACTCCTTCTATTTTAAATTAATCCTACAGAATAACTGGAAAATACCTCTCAGTGGAGTTCTAAGTTTCTCATATCCCTTTTATGCTTTCATACACAGCTCATCAGTTGCCTCTTTAAGGCTGGATGATATTGCTAACCAACATGTGGCAAAGAAGGCTCTAAAACAGCATGACAATTTTATGCTTGACTCAGGTAATCATAGCTCTCTTGAGGGGAATATGCTCTTCAGGCTCACCTCTCCTCTGTTTCTGCCATCCACAATCCCCCTTGGAGGAACTTAAGGCTCTTATACACTCGATTACACTCTACTGATTTATAGTGCCAAACGGTCATTCACATAAGAGCTCTCCATAAACATTACCGGATTATGCCAATTCAGGTGACTGATTATGGACCTCTTAAGGTGCCACGTTATCTAAAGACAACCCTATGTATCCAATTCTTTTCAGCTTCTCAAACTAGTCTTCCTATCCACACCTTGCACCAATTGCCTTTTGAAACAAGACTGAAGTTAAAAGAACCAACTACAGGAAAAAATGAATTAACAGGTCAAACATTACAGATAATTAAAGGTCTAACAATTGCACATGGTGAAGACAATCAGAATTAAAATGAGTAACCCAAATTCTCTGCATCATAGAAAACTTCTTTTTACCATCATATAAACTGATGCTTCTTATACTTTAAGGTGCCTATAAATTACCTAGAAAATGTTTCTAAAATGCAGTTCTGACTCTGGCACTCTGAGATGGAGTCCAAGGTTCTGCATTCTTCACAGGTATGCTGATGCTGCGGTAGCTCTGCTACTCAATAGTGTGGTAGGGCAACAGCAGCATCACCTGGGAGCCTGTTAGACAAGAATCTTGAGCCCACACTAGACTAAGGAAAAAGATTCTGCACTTCATCAAGGTCCCCAAGTAATTAGGATGCACATTTTAGAGCAGCTGACACACCATTTTGTACTCACTGTGAATGACAATCACCTAGGACACTTTTAAAACCACTAGGCCTCATGACAGAGATTCTGATTCATTTTGTCTAGGGTATTTGATTGTTCCCATGTTTGTCACTTTTTAAGCACACCCAGGTGGTTCTAATGAGCAGCCAGTGTTGGGAACCATTGAACTAAAAATACTTCCCTGAGCAGGGAGAAAATATGGAGTGACTGCTAATTGGTAAGGAATTTCTTTGGGGATGATGAAGATGTTCTAAAATTGCTTATGGTGATGGTGGCATAACGCTGTGAATAGAGTAAAAGTCACTGAATCACACATTTTAAATGGGTCAGTCATATGTGAATTATATCCCCATAAAACTGTTACATAAAAATTTCAATTAAAAACTTCAACAGCTTCCCTATTTAAAAATAAATAAGCCCCTCTTAACAACAACTAAATTGAATTATTTTCTATCCTGAACTCTAGCCCAAGAGTTTGAATTTCTTTCTAAAAAGGAGGAAGTGCAGATATTTATCCAGAAATATTAACATCTGCTCATTTACTCTGCAGGCTCAATTCTAGTCAAGGCAATGGATAAAGAATAAACCCTTACATCACAAAGGACACCACTACTTAAAAAAAGAAAAGCATGTTTACCAATTTGGAAAGCTTTACTCTGCACACCTCAAGTTTTCATAGTATTTTCCAAAAAAAAAAATTTCCTTTTGCTTCCCTTAAAAATAAATCAGTTAATTCATTGTACCACATTCTTCCAACTTGTATGTTTGAAGATATTCACAAAATATGTTAAGAAAAAAATATAAAATGCAAATCTTGACCTTGCTTAAAAAATTGCCTTAAACAATAATATCCTTGTAAAAATAAGAGATCACAAGTATCACTAAAAATTATAGGAAAGATCATGGTATATGAGATATACCATGACACAGACCATTCCATATACAGTATATGAGATACTACTTACTTATTATCAAAAAGAAAGCACTATAAATACAGGTAAGTAATAGACACTCCTCTGTATTTTGGAGACAAACTCTCTCGCACTTCTGATACCTGTGGTGTCAAATACTGAAGACTAAAGGTGCTATAAGATCAATTCAGTGGTGGCTCACAACAAAAGCACCTCATTTCCTTTCCCTGTTTGATCACCGTAGCCCATGTAAGCCATCTTCCCCACATGAATCAACGCCCTTCTTTATGGTTCCATGCTGTCATTCTTTTGAAGCAAACACATTCTGAATGCCTCACTGAACAGAGTTCCTAGGGCAACATACACTGATTACATGCATCTTCTGAGTCCTCTGCTAACTCAGAGCCCCTCTCTTAAGAAATGGCTTCCTGGGTCCTTCAAGGCAATAGGTAAGGTCACCTTCACAAGGGAGTATGATTCTCTCCCTTGACCACAACCCCCCCAGAAAATCCAGTGCATTGTAGTATTATTGCTGCTGCGTATATTTTATTTTTTTAAAACAATTCTACCTTATTACATTCTACAGATGACAAAGAAAAGACAAATCAACACTCCTAATTACTGACCTTGGCCTAAGTCACTCGGAAATAGCAGTCTCTTATTGCTTTTTATAGTAAGGCAGATTACCAACCTGCCTAACCTAAATCCCCTCTGCTTTAAGTATCTTTGTTCAAGGAAGTCTTCCATTTTCATAGTACTGTGAAGATGGTTACATACTCTAGAGCAAACAGAATAATCTGAGTTTTGGGTAAAAGATTTCAATTCCAAATTAGCAACCCTGAAACACACACTGGTGATACTCATCATGTTGTCAACTCTATCTCAATTCTCTGAGTCTTTGAAATGCTAACTTCCTGAGAGGTCAACACCCACAATCACTGTGTGCATATCCTGCTGAATTAAATAACTAATTCTTAATGGATTATCATGTCACAGTTAATAATTTCATTAAAAATTCACATTTGTTGAAGAAAAAAAATGAAAAGAGAAAAGGCTTACCTAATGGTATATATATTCTGAATATTCCTTTCCCCACCTTGTCCTTCCTTAAGAGCTTGCATTTGTAGTAATTTCATAATGGCTTTTATCAAGCCATGTGTATTTCTGTAAAGAAATATAGCATGTTAAATGTTATAGATAAAAAGTGAATATTCTAATAAGGTGCTTAATCCTATCATTTTAAAATAATTTTAATACTTGCCACCCAGATTAAACAGTAGCCACCCACAGGCACTCAACTCATTCTACAGTACAGCCCAAACCCATCCAACACATTTAAAGGAGAAGAAATGGAGCCAAAGAATCAAACCACAAACTTATCAATCATCTGCCTACATACTCTTGGGGGAAAATCAATCAGGAAAAAACAAACATTAGCCCACATAATTTCAAGCAGTGACCACATTGGTTACCCGCACTGAATGACCAAATCTTTCATTTATAAATATTAGCAGACCATGAAAAATAACCAAATATATGAAATGGATCAGCCACTCTAAAAAGTGGGCCAGGGAACCAATCAGAGCAAATAACTCCCATTAAAACAGAGCTAATAGAAAGGGAATAGCAATTTAAATTTTTTCCTTATTTTTGTAAGAGATAAGAGGATAAACATATCAAAAAGAAAAATAGGCTGCCTTTCTTAAAGAGCTCCCTGGAAAATAGAAAAAAAAATCTTAGAAACAAAAAACTCACTATTTGTTAAATTTAAAAAGTAATTTTTTTTTTTTTTTTTAGATGGAGTTTCATTTTTGTTGCCCAGCCTGGAATGCAACGGCATGATCTCAGCTCACTGCAACCTCCATCTCCTGGGTTCAAGTGATTCTCCTGCCTCAACCTCCCAAGTAGCTGGGATTACAGGCATGTGCCACCACACCTGGCTAATTTTGTATTTTGGGTAGAGAGAGGTTTCACCATGGTGGTCAGGTTGGTCTCAAACTCCTGACCTCAGGTGACCCGCCTGCCTCAGCCTCCCAAAGTGCTGGGATTACAGATGTGAGCCACTGTGCCCAGCCAAAAAGTAATTATTGTTTAATTATGCTTGTTAACATTTATTGAGCATTACCATAAGTTAAGCACTCTTCTAAGTTATTTTACTATGTCATTTACTATTCAGAACATAGTTGATTAGAAATCAATGTTAACTTTATTTTTGGGTTAGAACACTACTTGGACTTAATTAGGTATCATTTGTGGCATTTATGTGAGATGTTACTCAGTGTATTTTTTTATGGCATTTAAAGTTTTCCAACTGACAAAAGGTTTGACCACTTAGTAGACCTGCACAATCCAATATAGTAACAGCCACATGTGGCTACTGAGCACTAGTAATATGGTTAGTCCAAATTCAGATGTTCTATAAGTACAAAATACATGCTAGATTTAAAAGACTTTGGGACACAAAAAAAGAATATTAAATACCATGTATAATTTTTTGTATTAATTACATGTTAAAATAATATTTTTGATATATTGGGTTATATAAAATATATTATTAAAATTAATATCATCTATTTCTGGTTTTTTAATGTAGCTACTGGAAAATTCTAAATTACATATGTAGCTTGCCTTTGTGGCTAAAGTTGTATTTCTATTTCACAGCATTGCTATAGACACTCAAATGGTTTAGTGCCTAAATGGATTCTCTGGGGAGTATTGAGATTTCTTTTGCAGCTGAAGCATTCACAATCTACAATGGTATGTTTTCTCTTCCATATGGATCCTCTTAGGACCATGCAGTATAACTCATGGATGAATCTCTCATGACATATGTCACATGTCTATGGTTTCTCTCCTGTGTGGATCCTCTGGTGAACACAGAGGTACCAACACTTCATGAAGCCTTCTCCATTAAGATTCTATCTCCTATGTGTGTTCTCCAATGGATGTCAAATCGAGATTTGGCTTGCTCCCATGCTATACATTGGTACTGTGTCAATTCTATAGTACTTTGGCCCACAAAATGGCCAGTGAATCCCCCTGTAACTCAGTGAAAATTAAAATGGAAATTTTTTTGTAAACTAGAATGAAGTGTATTGCCTTAAGAAGGTCTGACTGCATGGCATCTCCTTGAGGACCTCCTTGGTAATCAAGGTATGGCCTTGTCTTCTTCCTTTGGAACTGCTCACATTCTTCTGAGAAACTTCTCTATTGACACTGAATTTCTAGACTCCTCTTACTCCAGAGCTTAGGAAAAAGATACCTCAACATCCAGACTTTTAAAATAAATTCCTTCTTTGCAATTCTTCACAACATTTACTTTTTCAGAATCAGAACCTTTTTATAACTGAGAACTCTGGACTATAAGGACGAGTATCTCCCAGTATATCCTCCAGTTCTTCATAACCCTTCACTACACCTTCCTTTACAAAGAGCTGGAGATCCCTCAACATAACTGCTCTATCACCAATTTATCAAGAACCTGTACCTAGTTACAAATGTCTGGACTCAGTCACAGGGCAGAGTTCATACAGCCTCCTCAGAAGTTCTATGGGATCTGACTCCTCCAAATATGTGATTTTTGTAAGCTAACTTACCAGGTCTCAGAGATGCAGTCCTGCAGCTATGACCCAGGCCTGTATCTAGATGTTATATGATGCCACGAAATATAAGATCTCATCATCACTAATTGGGTGAGCAATTCTGAGAATCCAGTATCTGACTAAAGCCTATCATAGGGAGTCTACTTTGGTCTGTCCTGGTGAAAGAGTCACTATATGTTTAGAAGTATTCTTGTCTTCTAGCCTTCGATGTCTATACAACTGAAAATCAGCTTTCAAGTCTGATTTAAGCTATTTATATGCTACTGAAGAAAGGCCAGGCTTCACCTAGTAATCTCGTAAGACCGCACTCTGAGCCTAATGATTAGTTGAAATGACCAGTGTTGACTGAATTTCTGACTGAATTTCTTCCAAAAAATGTGAATTAATTAAATAATCCTTTTTTGCATGTGAAACTATATTGGTTTTCCTTAACTATTTATTCATCATATGACCAGAGTTCTAGAGAAAACAGGTAACAGATCTATGGTTTTTATGGTCTCCTACCTTTTTATGAAAGCAGTGGAATCCAAGAGAAAAGAATAGACATCACATTTACTTTTAATTCCAAGGGATTCACAAATCACCAATGCTGATAAATGAACTCCAATTTTTTAAACTTTAAGTTAGGTCTCACTTACTCTTATCTGTGGATCCAGATTTTATTATGTAGATAACTGAGTCTATGCTGTATTTTCAGCAAGAGTGTAGGATGAGTAGATTATAATTTTTGAAAGATGATGGCATCAATCAAATTACATATAGAGAGCCATTCAAATGGTTACACATTTGCCTTAAATTTAATTGAAACTATCCCTCTCAACCCACTTGAAATAGACATTATGTATATTAATAAGTATTATGTTTAATAAATCTTATTTACATATTTCAATTGGATTGAGAGGGATACTTTCAGGTTAATATTTATTTAAAACCCTACTTCAATTCGAATTAACTACGGAATCTTGGGCAAGTCACTTAATGCCTAGGGATCTCAACATTCTCGTCTTTATAATCAAAAATCATAATAAGCCCATCTCTTATGTTGTTTTAAAAAAACTAAGAATAGTATGTTAGTAAATTACATGCTTTTTCAAAAAGTTGGGATAATTCAAAACTTATGCTATAACATAAAGATAATAATGTTCTTCCCTCTTTACAGATGAAGCTGTGTAAGCACAGGCATCAGAGTTAATGAATGCTGAAGCCTGGAATTTGCCTAAAGCTAACTACAAAGTCACCCTAACTCCTAAAAATCTCTAGTATTTTCCATCTCTTATTGCAAAATCTGCTTTTCTTGTTTTCAAGCCTTTGTTATTCTGGATCTGAGATCTACTCCTGCAAAATGAAAATTATTGTTGAATTCTGTATGATTTCATAAAGAGGTTATAGTAATCTGAATCACGCTAAAACTCAAAATAGTGAATTAAAAGAAAACATAACCACTGGAGAAGCAAAAGTCAAAGAAAATTTCACTGGACTTACATCTTCAAATTGAAAAAGCTTCCAAGTACTAAGCAAGATTTCTGAAATAATTGCTGACAATTCTCAAAGGATAAAAAAAAAAATCCTATGACCTCTTAAATTTTATAAAACAAAAAAAATTATAAAATAAAAACAACTAGACTTGCATCATTTCTAATTTGGCATCAGCATTCTTATCTACAAACAACAAAACTGAGAGAAGCAATGCATGTGGATTTGTAAGAGAAAGGCTTATAAAACTCAGTAAGTCCAAACATCTCCCCCCAAAAAAGTGAGTAACATACGAGAACAAAAGAAATATTTTCACACAAAAAACTCGGAAAACTTTTCTTAAAGAGGTTCTTCAGTTAAATTAGAATGCATGATTGCACAGCCTTGTAACTATACTGAAAACACCGAATTATATACTTTGAAAGTGATTTTATAATATTTCAATTATATCTCAATAAGCTGTTATTTTTTTAAAAGATAAAAAAAATTGAAGACGCCAGGCACAGAGGTTCATGCCTGTAAACCCAGCTACTCTGGTGGCTGGAAGCCAGAGGATCACTTGAGGTCAGGAGTTTGAGACTAGCCTGAGCAACAGAGAGAGATCCTGTTTCTTTAAAAAAAAAAA